CGTACCTACCATGCTTTTCGTCGCAAAACCACTTCCGGTCCCGCCCACTGGTCCATGGTCCGTGGAAGATTCCTTTGAACTCGTGCCGCAACCTGTAGTGCAACTTGTGCGGGGTTGGATGTGCAAAGTATGGATCGCGCACTTGTTGGGATTTAAGTCGATGGCACTGACTTGTCGTCTGTTGACGTTCACCCCCAGCGTAGACTTGGAAGTCCCATGTCGGTTACTCTAATATATTATAGAAGCGACCTCTATGCTCCATTCCCTCCTCACCATCGCTATAAAAACTTTTTGATTTTTTCCATTTCGATTTTACGAATCTACATGCGCTTATCATGGAATCACGACTGAATGCAGTGTTGATGCCGCTTTTTTCGGGCAAATTCGAATGGAACAAGAAAAGACCGAGCGGAGTTTCTCCTTGGGTATGTACCTTCAAGGCTTTGAGGGAGTTCCGATCGTTACGTGAAGCAAGGTTGAAAGCCGTTAGATTAAGTGAGCTTGCGGATGAATGTAAAGTTGCACGAATGTAGAAAAGCTGTAAGCTGAAAGATCAAGAACCGCAATAATTTCCTGACCTATTATTAATTATCATATGTTTTGTTATATTGTAATGATGTTGAGTTTACTCGATATAATGTTCCTTGAGATATCTTTGGCGGCTTATTTTTTGTTCTTATCAAGGAGGCGTCAAGTTTGGTTGGGCAAGCGTACCGCAGGACCGAAAGTCTCTTACGGAAAAATGCGGACAAGCTAGAGAAGGTGAGTGAGTCGGTTCGCTAAATAGCTTCCTCTATTCTTTTAAGGTTGTTGAGATAAGATTGTTTTCAGATCGCGCAGGAGCTATTAAAACGGGAAGTGCTCAATTATGATGATGTCAGGAATCTCATTGGAACACCGCCTCATGGCGAGAAGCACGTTGTCGAGCTGGTTCGACAACATTCTGCCAAAAGACGGAGCATAACTCCAGTATATATGGGATAGACCTTGCTCTATGAAAAATAAATCTATTAATGTGCTTTGTACAACAACTATGGAGATTTGGTCCGCCGGGCAAGCTACCCTAATTTCCAGTAGATTCCGGGCCGATGTCACGTAAAAAGACTACCGTAACTTAGCCCAGAAGGGTAATTCGACGCTCCGATTCGAAAATGACATTCAATTTTAGCGGTGCGCCATCTGGCGCCAGTTGGCGTCACCTTGTCACGACACCTGTTTTCACCAAATTGGTGTAAACTTCCGTATAGGGATTATTTGGTGTCTTAGGAATATGAGATTCACTCTTGCCGCTGGTGCCATTTGGCGCCTATTGTCCACCCTCCTGGTTGGGTCGGGAAATGTGCTTTGAGGAGCGCTAATGCCAAAACGAATGACTGTTCGTAATGAGGTCACCAAACAACCTAATGACAGAGTAACACCAACTGGCGCACCCCTGTGGGTGAAACTACGGTAGTCTCTAACGCCATCACACTGCACGAGCCAGATGTTTTTTTACGTGACATCGGCCCCGGCTTCCGTCCAGGCTTCGTCATGCCGAGCTCGGATCGCGCAACCTGGGTGGTCGCTTCGGCAGCACCTTTCCAAGTTTCGTCGACAGTCGTTACCGCTGGCAATCGAATGCGGGAAACGACGGCCGCTTCTTTCTTCTTTTTATG